ATCAATTGTTATACACCAAACAAATCTTAATCAAGTGCTGCTTTTGTTTTTTAATGTAACATCATCTAATCTTTTAATACTCTGCGTAAGAAATTAATTCTCATATTAATACTGTATGTTTGTCGACAAACCAAATCTATCAAAAAACTCAAGAGTCAAACATGTGATTGTAGGCCTAGAATTGTTTTATATTCTAATACGCCCCTTCACATGCAGGCATTGTCATTTTGACTCTTTTTAAGCCTTCCGCGTGAATGCTTTACTTTTTTAAAGTTCGGTGGCAGTGAATTTTGAACTTGCCTTGATCAATAATGCTCTGATATCATCCATGTCAAGGAACTAATTGTAACACCCCGGCCCCCACCCTGGTCGTAAGTGTTCGCTCATAGAATTGTAGACTGGCCCCACAAACCAACACAAGTCTTTCCGCACACTTTGTCCTCACTCGTGCGCGCCAAGGAAAACTTCTCAGGGGGTCACCCATCCTAGAATTGCTCCAAGTCAAGCACGCTTAACTTTGGAGTTTCTAAGTGATGAGCTCTCGAAAAGAAGATGCACCTTGTTGGTATGATTAGTACTATCATTCCTTTTGAGCTCTTCCCATTCCCATCTTAATACGGGGTATTACACTAATTCAGTCAAAAGCTTAAGTTTATGGTTGTAAACCTATGATAAAATATATATTCTAACACGCCCCATCATCACGTGCAATCGAGATTTATTTTTGCTCGAGCCTTGCACGTGATAATCAATTTTTGTAAAAAAAATGAGGCTTAAATTCAATAATTTCGAGATGTGGAGAGTAGACCAATAGAGCGTCCGGTGATAAAGGTTGATCAAATGGTGAATAGACATGTGGCTAGAGGAAGAGGCAGATCGAAGAAAACTTGGCACAAAGTGGTCAAGGTATACCTTTGCATGAATGATCTCACTGCATATATGGTACATGATATGATGCAACTGCATCGTTCAATCCATGTAGCCGACCTCGTCTAGTGGAATAAGACTGTTGTTGAGGCTTAAAGTCAGTATGCTTAATGGGGTTCATATGGACTAAATACGATTTAGAGCTTGTTTTCTTAGTATGATATGATTTGATTTTATTTAAGTCTGATCTAATCTGATTGAATATGATTTGATTTTATTACGTCAGATCTAGTTTAGGAAGAATAAGTAATGAGAATAAATGAAGCGCAATGTTTCTATAGCTACCCCTACTATGACTAAGTTCGCCTCATTTATAGTTTAATGGATAAATTTATCCCTAATAACACAAAGAAAGAATATTAGATCCTAGCCAACTTTCAAGAGAGAAAATTTATCCATTTATCATAAATGGAGTAGATTTAACTTAGCCATACTCATTGAAAAGAACAAGCTCTTAAGTGGTTTGTAGAGTTCCGCTCCACCACTTCATTATTTTTTTATTTGTTCTTTTTTTATTACCTAATGTTTTGTATCTTTTTATATCATTGTATTTATAAATTTAATATGAGTGAAATAAAAAATGTACAATTAGATAATAGTTGGTTTTATTGAATAATGAGAATTATATACATACATACATACATACATACATACATACATACATACATACATACATACATACATACATACATACATACATACATACATACATACATACATACATATATATATATATATATAGACACACACACACACTTCATCCATATGTGTTAATAAATGTTAATAAATATATTTTTCTTATTTTTTCCTTAATGTTTTATGGTGATAACTCTTAGTTTCCTCATTTTTTGGTTTATTTGTTTCTGTTTTTTCACTTTTTTTCCAGAACAAATTTTAAATTTTAATGAGTATATTAGATGAACAATTTGAATTATTGAAATTATTTTCTAGATGAAAATTAAAAAAACTTTAAGAAAAAAGAAACAATTAAATTTAAAAAATGTGAAACAAAAAAAAAAGAAACAAATAAACCACAAAGTGAGGGACCCAAGATTTATTATCATAAAATATTGAGGGAAAAATTAGAAAATTGCATTTATTAACGCCTATTGATGAAGTATTGAATGAAGTGTCTTCTCCTACTCGATCATTATAATAAAATTTAAGGATTCATGTTGCCTTTTTTTTAAAATAGAGGGTCTTAAGTGTTATTTTGATAAAACTTGTGTGACCCGAGAATAACTTTTTTATTATATGTTGATGATGAGTGTATGTTATTTATCCCTACACTTCAGCGTGTTGATAGGTTCTCCTAAATAAATAGTATAAATAAAAGTATAAACTGCATATTAATTAGATAAAATAGTTTTTTTTAAAAAAAATTACATGCTAAATGTAAAGAAATTATTTTTTTATTCATTGTACTTAATTTATGATCAAAGTAAATTAATCTTGATTACAAAAAGTCAAAACTAAATGTTAATTAGGTGGGGGAGGTAATATATAAAGTAGGAGTAATCTTATGATAAATAACAATTATGAACCGACCCCATAGGTACATTATATAGTAATAGGTAGAGATGGATCCAATGAACAAGACAGAACACATGAGCAGAGCCCAAAAAGTGCATTCATGAAAGGAAGAACAAGGAAGCTGTCTACCTTTAACCATTAATGATGGTTCCGGCCACATCATGTACATATCAAACAATGAACACATGTCTGCAAATTTTAGTATTATTTGAAGCTTTTTGCAATGGTGTTATGGTGGTGGTGGGGTTTAGGGTTGTGTCTCAAGCAAGTTTAGTGCGTGCGTGATCGCAAAACTAGAAAGTTAGACTTGTCTGTGTTACAGTCTATGCCGCATCGAAAAATTGAAAAGAAGATAACAGATTTATAAGCTCTTGAATTTAATCTTTTACGGGTCACATAGAAAAAAAATTCGCGCCCTTGCTTCAATCGCCTCACAATCTCCCTGGATCTACTTCTCGACTTCTAATGGCTATTTCAAAACTGCTTCTGCTAGCTCCATTTCTGTACCTGTGATTCAAGCTATTTCTCGTTATCGATCGATCCGATCATCAACTTTAAATTTAACTTTAGTATTATTTGAAGCTTTTGCAACGGTGTTATGGTGGTGGTGGTGGGGTTTAAGCTAGCTAGTTAGAAATGAGAGAAGAAGTTGAAGAAAGGAGAACATATCATCATGACATGTGAAGTTAGGAATAAGGAGGCCAAGGTGGTGTTTGGTAAGGGGACATTATATTATTAAGTATTATGCTTCGTATTACACACAAGTTGATGGTCTTATATTTGTGATCACAATCTGTGTTTAGCTTGAGACTAGAGATGGCGCACGTGTACACCTCTTTTTTGCCATAATAAATAATGAGTAAAAAGTATAGGGAGTATAGCTGAGTGGTTCTTCTATGGTCCTAACGTTCACATGTGAAACGTAGATCAGACATTCTCATATTCTTTATGGATGTGTTGGTCCACCAATGGGCCGCAAACAGAGTAGCGGGGGTTGGTCGAGCAAGTGGAGGTCCTCCAATAATCCTAGCTTATTGGGGTTGCCCAATTTTTTTTTTGTTATTTCGATTCCAAAATTTTTTGAAAAAGTAAATGTTTTCGAACCGAAAAATACCAAAATGTATAGCTTAGTTATGGGGCCGGATTTGGTGGAGCTACGACCTTATATATTTGTTTTATTTTGACTTTTAAATAAATGTTGACCATAAGTTATGAGAAGAAAATATATTTTGATTATAAGGTGTGTGTTAATACTATTTTGGAAGAATATTTTCCATGGAAGATTTACTTCTAGAGAAAATTATTTTTCAATCATATTTTTCGTTTAGGGAGGAAATTTTTTCCTTAAAAAATTTATAGTTTCTATTGTTAATATATAAAACTTAATATTGGAATAAATATTTTGAGACAATTTATTACAACGTACTTCGTAATACTTTTGAAAGTCTTATTTTGATTATTTTCACATTTTTCTTATATTTTACTCATATATTAATCTTTCTTGCTTTCACTTCATACTCATTGGAGCAGTAATATCTTTTTATAATAATGGTTTTTAAAATTAATACAGTTGGCGAGGTGGATCATTGAATTTTTAATCATGTAATATCGATAATCCAAAATTTTATTTTTTAATAATGCAGAAGAAAAAAACCATTTTCGAAAACAATGGGGAGGGGAGGAGGTGGGAGTGGATCATTTTTGCACTAATCTTAATTAATGATGAGGAGAAGAATTATACGGAGTATTTTTTTTAAATCAAAAAATCAATAAACCTAAATTATTCATATTTGACTTTTAAATGATATCCTCATGAAAAAGTTGCATCATTTTAATAATTTTTATTGTAGAATTGCAAAAAAAATTTGTGCAACTCTTATGTCGCAGAGGTTAAAAGTGAGAGAACAATTAGAGAGTTTTGGGAAAAGTTGAAGGAGAAAACCAGAACTTCAAAAAATCAAATCAAATCAGAGAAACAGAACACAACCTACAAGAGCAATTTTGAAAAGCATTATGTGATCGGCTAAACACCCATATATTCACTCGCCCCAGAAGATATGGATATGGATCCAACCCGAGAAGACCCATTGGATATGAGTAGCATATGAGCTCAAATAAAAAACATTTATGAGGACCTGAGTTCACTTGGATTCCTATCCCACAAGCTTATTCTGTATAATGTTTGGTTGGCCAACCAATCAAAGCTGATCAGACTAGCCCATATGGTAAGCCATTAACCAAACCTATGCAAGTCAAATTTGTTTTCTTTAGCAGTACCATTGCTACCACTACACATTTATGTAAAGAGTCATGCTAGGGGTATACCAAAATGGGGTACTCCAAATGTACACCAAGCAAATGCAGACACTAAGGTTTATTCTTATGTAAATCATATAAATGACTACGTCCCCTGAGGGAGTACCACTTGCCATTCTCCATAAAATATCATTTGAGCATATTAGGTAACATCTAATTTGCTAAAAAGAAGATATACATTTTTCTTTAAGGTTGTGTTTAAGGAAGAAATGGAATAAACTTTGAAAATAAAACATTCCTCGCCCTTTTAAACTCTGTACTCCTTTTCCTGATACTCCGTATTATTCCATTTCCGCCATAAACACAGCCCTAAGGGCTGTGTTTAGCAAAACCTTATAACTAAAAGCACAAGTTTAGATTTATTAGAATTTAGAAAATTCCTAGGTCATGCTGGTTTGGATATATAATCCAGTAAAGACAAGCATAATGCTTCACTCAAACAAAATCTTACACCTTACACTGGTGTAATAATGAGGCATTGATGCATGTTTCTCAAAATCTTGTAGAGGGTAAGATTGATGAAGTCACCAGCCAAGAAGCAGCAGCTTTAGGAGAGCCATTCTAATGTATAGTCCATTCTTGGCTTGTCTAAAGTAAGCAGCCCTTGCATCTCCATCCACGTCTACGGTTATCTACACATGTGCAATGAATGTTGAATTTAACAAACAAAAACTAAATGAAGTTTTTTTTCTCGTTAAAAAAAGTAATTATTGTGTTGGGAATTTGGACCCGCGGGCTAACCTCATCAAGCCGTGGAAAAGGGTGCATGACAACCGCATGTTTTTGCATTACACTTAAAACATCTGGGTCCACGATATATTTCCCACGGGCTTCTTCATATAAATCAGTTCGCCCCCCAAACCTTTCTCGTTGGATACGAGTTTGATAAAGCACGTCACACTTGGAAGCCACGTCCATTAGATCAGCACTTTCCTCCCAATCAACTCCTTCTGATGTAAGATATTCCTTTATGTCATCCTGGAAAAGTAATTGAGTGTGTGTGACATTTCTCCTTCCATTAATTGTATATACGTCTTACCTTTCCAATCCACTAACAGCAGTATTAGATCACGGCGTAATAGCATTTATGCATTCACTTAATTTATTAAAAGAACTAGAAGTAAAAGGTAAAAATGTTTAACCGCACCCAGTAAATCATCCTACCTTCATTTTCACCACATCAGGGGAGACAAAGTAAATCTTCACATCCTGGTATTTTGTGAGCAGATATGCAAGTGACCTAACTGTCCTTCCATTAGCAAGATCTCCGACAAGGGCAACTGTTATCCCATCAAGTTTTCCTATTTCTCTTTCAATGGTGTATACATCCAGTAGCGCCTGCTCATGTATGAAATGACTGCATCAGAGTTTTTCAAAATAAAAATATAAACAGTAATGCCTGCACATGTGTTACAAACTTGCAATATCATTACTTAATGGACATGACCATAGAAAAATATCTGAACTCATCATCAATTCATCGTCATCTTGTGATATTTTCCATGAATCATCTCATTATTCTTTCTTATGAAGGAAAGTTGCAACAGGAAAGACATGGTGTAAAATACTGCCAGTGTTTTTCTTTTGCATGAATTCATAGTGTTAATTATAGTATTATACAATTAATTGACACTTAATTTAATGCCAAAACCCCAAACTAGTTGAGGTTAAGGTTTCGATGACGATGAGAAACTGTGTATAAGAATAAAAATGCTAACAATTTTACTGCAAAATGAATCATCCAATCAAATCAGGCACCAAGTATTAGAGACTCTAACTAAAGTTTGCATTGTAACAAAAGGAACCAGATTCAGCGCTTGTCCATGAATCAACAAATTTCTGCTTGTAAGTCCATCACTGTCCAGCTGACTTTATTAGCAAGCCATCGAACAATTCAAATAAGGCAATCTTTCTCAATTCACAGTTAGGTACTCCTATTTAGATTGGCATATCCATGGTAGTCAAACTCTAGATTCTACGTAGGATCGATAAGCATAATGAAGATCGTAACATCGTAAGATCGTGACTCGGATCGTAAGATCCTACTACATACATACATACATACATACATACATACATACATACATACATACATACATACATACATACATACATACATACATACATACATACATACATACATACATACATACATACATACATACATACACACATACATACATACATACATACATACATACATACATACATACATACATACATACATACATACATACATACATACATACATACATACATACATACATACATATATGTAATGTTTTAAACTTTTAATTAAATTTTAATAAAACATAACATAAGTTCAAATTGGATCACAAATGACTTAAAACTTTATTCTTAGCAAGAGAAAAAAACTGAAGGAAGGCTGATAAGCAGAAGAATACTCTGTTTCCGATCGAAATAAAGGGAGATAAATAAAGGGAGAAACTAAGCTGCTTTCCTTTTGAAATAAATAAATAGAAGAAGAAGATACGGTGCTTTCCTATTGAAATTGGGAATAAATAAAGGGAGATACTCTGTTTCCGATCGGAATTGGGAGTCGCAACAGATGCGACTTTCCAATTGCAATTCCAGACGCGATTGGAAGGAGATTTTGAAGAGACGCTGTTTGGGCTTCGCAGACTCGGCGATTGAACCCGATCCTGCGTTTCTGCAAGTCGAATCGTCGATCCAGACGATTCCATGGAATTCGCGATTCTGCAGCCGTCTCGGATCGGTAAGGTACCGGCGATCCTCAGAATCGTAGACTCGTACGAGTCAACTCGCGAGTTTGACTACCATGGGCATATCAGTCCTTACTACTCCGTATTAAATATTTCTGTGTGATTATATGCCAGCAGTTTCACCATAACAGAAAGAAAACAGATACGGAATTAATGGCAAACAACAAGAAACTTGACATTTGAAAATTAACATTTGAAATTTCTTTTTCTGTTGCCACTTTAAAAATATTGCATGAGGAGATCAATTGTATCTCTGGAATTTGCAAAAACGGGTGGACTACTCGTATAGTTAATATAACTCCATCCAAATGATAGCAACAAAGTTGAACTCCCTGAGTAAATAGAAAAATATAATGCACATGACGAGAAATGTGAACCTGAGTTGGGTGCTGCCCCGGACCATCTCCTGCATTAATGATGGGAATGCTGGCTGTGGCTGCTGCTCTTTTGGCAGCACCACTTTCAAAGTGCCTCATGACAATTATATCAGAGTAACCTTCAACTGTTCTTATTGTATCTGCAAATTAAACCCAAAAATCAGAAGTCAGAACTAAAAACTTATCCCCACATCACGTCACGCAATTGAAATGATCCAACTAAATCTACCTTCAAGTGTTTCCCCTTTCGCTGCAGATGAAAACTCGCGTGCATTTTCAGTTGTCAGAACTTCCCCACCGAGACGTTTCATGGCAGACTCAAACGAAAGCCTTGTCCTAGTGGAAGGTTCGTAGAAAAGGGTAGCCATTAAGTGCCCCTTAAGCATCTGGCTTCCAAGTGATCCTTTCTCCACCTTCTCCATTTCACGTGCCACTTCAAATACAGCATCAAGTGTGCCTCTATTGAATTGCTGAGCATCAATTATATCCTCAAGCAGGAACTTATTTCCCTCAGTGACCAAAGTTTTGCCTTCAGCTGCTACCGCTCTACACTGGAAGTTGCTATGCTTTCGCAGATTCCTCGCAAATAGTTGGTTTTTGACACATTTCTCACTAGATGTTAATAGTGAACTTTGCATCTTGGCAGATGCAGGTATAGCATTCGTGTTACGACTCTTGATAGAGCAGAGATTTGGGTAGTTGAACATAACATCATTCCGAAAATCACTTCTTGAAAATGTAGCAGGAGAAGCCATCGTCATATATGAAATTCACCTAACCGAATGTAAAAGAAACACATCAAAATAAGAGCGTCTCACTCTCAATCCCATCAATGCAAATGCTTTCTGCATTTGGATTTAAGCAGAAATGTTTTGTGGAACCAAAAACAAAAGTTTGGAAAAGATCAAATGCACTGCTCCATAACCTCCATTCATAGGTTCAGAATCTAGCATTGAACAAGCCGTTCATAACATAAGCTCAAAGCAAGGATTTTCATGATTCAGAATCTACCTTTATATTGATTGATCTTCAATCGGCGCAGGGGATCGCACCGGAGCCGCAGTTGGCTGGCCGCCGCCTGAAGCTTTTTCAGATGTGTTAAGCCGGAGGAGAGGAGCCGTCGCGTGCTAGTTTCCGTTTTTGTTTCTGATATGGTATCATTACCTTCTATAATTGGCGCTGCTCTTCAACATTTGGATTTCCATTTTTGAGGTTTTTTGGGACCTAGGGTTTTGTGCATTTATGTCTGGTTGACTCGGGTCCCAATTAGGCGTCGGGTTTAGTGGTTTTGGCTATGTTTTGCTACTCGGACTATCCACTAGCGGGCTTGCATGATTGGATCCGGATTTGAACTGACCAAAAATTCTATAAAATATAGAGCGTAAGAGTAAATTTCATGTTTGGCCTTTATAACAGAGTGATTTTTCTATTTGGTCATTTATAAATAAATACTCCCTCCGTCCACAAATAAACTTTACGTTCACTATTCACAGGGTCAAACTTTATTCACTTTGTTGGCCTATTTTCGTCATCCATTTGATAAAATAACATAGTCATGTCACCTCTAGTTTTGTAGATCTTTTGAAAATAACTTCAGTCAAACATCGTAACGCGTAATGTAAAGTTTATTTGTGGATGGAGGGAGTATTACTTTAGTGGTCCTTTTTTTATAAGTATCTTTCTATAAATAAGTCTTTTTTGATCTTCTATCTAATTAGTATTAATTTGAAGGCTAAAAGTATCATTTGATAATGATAATATATCTTTTTTGTCATACATAATTTCAAAGACTGGTCTTTATGCATCGTTTGTAAATTACAGTCGCTTTTTACTACAACTATAGGTCTATAGTCTACAAATGCGATCTTTCGTCGAAATTCTGATTCACAATCATAGTCATTATTTTGTGTTATTCGTCTAACCAATATCCAAATACGTCAGTAGGTATAAGGTTGATGATAAATTACATTTTTAGGCTTTAAATTAACACCAACATGTTAGAATATTAAAAAAGGACCATTTATGAAAAGACACTCATAAAAGAAAGACTACGAGAGTAATATTTGATAATAGAGGACTAAATATGGAGATCCTTATGTTATAAAGAACTAATTATAGAATTTACTCGAAAAAATAAAAATCAGGCTCAATTCGGATGTAGATTTTGGTCTCTAGATTTTACTAGTACAAAAATATCAAAATTTTAAGAAATTAGTGCATCAAAATAGAAGTAAAATATAGCAAAACTATTGAATGAGGAATTTTACATTTTAATCTCAAAGTATGATTTTGCATTGTTACATTGTGACAATGTATAATGGCATCTTACCATATCTTTTTGGTATTATATGTTGACATTATTGATATTGAAACTCCTACTTTATAAATAAAAACATGGAAATGATATTTGGTCTTTGTCTATGTTATAATCCAATTTAGTGTTTTCCCTAAAAAAATTCTTATACAAGTTTCGGGCCTGTCTGATCCGGTCCACCGAGTTTCAGTCTAGATCGGTTAGATCTTATGTTATAATTGGTGGATCAGTTAGAATTTACTTTTTAAAAATAATTTTTTTATAATTTTATATTATAGTTTTTGAAGTTTTCAATATTTAATGTTACATTAACTTGAGACTAAAAGTTTCTTAATTGCTACTCCAAGTATATTTTTATTTTTGTCATGATTTTTTTAAAAGTAGACATTTTAAAAATAAGATACTCCATATCAATTCCAACAACCTAACGATTTTGAAATTTAATATCCTTCTATTCTTAAAAGTAGCAGAAAAACGCACCAACATTTTTCCGCCCATATGCAAACCAATCTTAACCTTTTATTCTTAGAAAAAAATGGGATCTATGGATGATATGTAATCTAGTGTTTTAAGGTCGAATAAGGAACGTTATTTTCTTGGTGCCATCTATATCTATACTTATTTAAAATCAGGGGAAATGTTGACCAATTTTCCCGTCCATGCAATTTTTATTATATATGGTAAAGCATTTTTTAATTCTACATATAAATAAATGGAAGCATAAATAAATAACATATTTAGGGTTTAAATTAACATAAATACAATAATAGGGACCTTATTGATGGAAAGCATTTTATAACATAAATAATTTATACATAAATAACATAAGCAATCCTCTAAATGTATAATCTACACTTATTTAAAAGCAGGGGAAATGTTGACCAATTTTCCCGTCCATGCAATTTTTATTATATATGGAAAGCATTTTTTTAATTCTACATAAATAAATGGAAGCATAAATAAATAACATAATTAGGGTTTAAATTAACATAAATACAATAATAGAGACCTTATTGATGGAAAGCATTTTATAACATAAATAATTTATACATAAATAACATAAGCAATCCTCTAAATGTATAATTTGTACGTAGTAGATAAATAATATTAAAATTTAATATATCAAAATGACAAATTAAAATAAACTTGATTGTATTAAGTATGGATTATAACTAAATAGATATATATATTTTATTAATCACAATCAATGAATGATATTTATATTATTCTTTTTCTCGCTCATGTAATTCGTATAATATATGAAAAAATATGGATCAAACTTTATTGATCAGGGTCAAAGAAGTATTCTTTAATTTAACATAAATAGATCAGATGAACTTTTTATAACGAATATTTTGAACATTCTTATTTCTGAGAATTGTCTCAATTATTGTTTTATAACAAACAAGCTTAATTATTGAATTACCTTAATTGTGAGATTTTAATGGAATGATAATGACCTTATTGATGGAAAGCAATTTTTAATTGTACATAAATAACATAATTAAGGTTTGAGTTAACATAAATGAATTAATAGGACATAAATAATATGTACATAAATAACATAAGTAATGGTATAAATGTATAATTTTTTAACATAATTCTTTAAATATGTACATAAATAGATAAATAATATAAAAATTAAATATATTAAAAAGACAAATTAAAATAAATACAATCATAAAAGGTATAAATTATAACTAAATAGATATTTCTTATTAATCACATACAATGAATGATATTAATTGTATTATTCTTTTTTCTTGACCAGTTTTCCTGTCTATTAATTTTTATTATATATGAAAAACTTTAATGCGTGAGAATTTAATTGTTGTGCTACTAAGCAGGAGAATTCAATACCTTAACTTCCACTTTTATATTACATGGTAATATATATACTTTTTTCCTTTTCATTGTTAGGGAGATCGAATACATGTGCATATATATCAGAGATTCGAATATAAGCACTTTCAAACCAAGAATTTTTTTTATATCATTCAAAAATGATATAAAAAAATTAAAAAGGAAAGAATAAGCTGTATTTTTATGGGAACATTTTTTTAAAAAAGTAAAGAATTAACAAACAAGGAAAGGAAATAAGAAACCATATTTTTATGGGAACATTTTAAAAAAATTAAAAAATTAACAAACAATGAAATAGAGGACCGATGCTATTATTGTTGTTGTTGTTGTTGTTGTTGTTGTTTTTGTTGTTTAAAATCGTGATTAAGTATGGAAATGATGAATATTTAAAATCGTGTTTTTTATGAGAAACGATTTAAAAAAGTAAAGAATTAACACAAAAAAATATTGAATTGGTGATATTATTAGTATTATTCTTCTTCTTTAAAAAAGTAAAGGAAGTTATTTTTAAACAAGAGTGTCTTTAATGTAAACAAAATTAAAAAGGAAAGAAGAAACCATTTTTATGGGAACAGATTGAAAAACGTAAAGAATTAACAAACTGGGAAATATTGGACCGATGCTATTATTTCTAGTAGAAATCATCCTAAATGGGACTAAAACATAGAGAAAAGTACCAAAATATGACTTTCATGTTTTTTTTTCAAAATAGGACTTTGCACTGTGGTAATGTGACTTTGCATTGTGGTAATGTGGCAGTGTACATGTGCAAATTACTTTACTTTTTTGGTAATGTATATGATCATGTTTGGTAATGTAAGTCCTATTTCGAGAATAAAAACATGGAAGTCCTATTTTGGTATATTCTCAATGTTTTAGTCCTAGTTTGGTCTTTCTCTCTTGTTTCTATTATTCTTTAAAATTGTGGTTATTTTAGTACATGAAATATATTTAAAACCGTGATATTTTAGTAAAGAATTATCAAAAAAATATAGGACCAATGATATTTTTATTACCCTGTATTATTCTTTTTTAGAAAAGCAAAGAAGTTATTTTTTAAATAATAGTAAGTTTTTAGTGTAAACATAATTTTAAAAGGAAAGACGAAACCGTATTTTTTGTGGGAACATGTTAGACAATAATACTAATATTACTTCTGTTAGTATTGGTTATGGTAGTGTTTGATTATTAATCAATTTTCTTTTCATATTTGTGGTAGATGTTGTATTTTAGTTAGTCTTCATTCTTTATTCCTACTTGTGTTAAGAGTCTTTTCTACATATACTTTATCATGTACTTCATCATTCAAGGAGCAATATTATTATTCCAATATTTCTAAATGGTATCCGAGTCACCGCTCTTGGTGACCTAAAAGAGTTCTTTGCTTCCACCGCCGCCGCCGGTAATTCCAGCGACAGAGGCACCACTTTATTCACCTCTATTTTCTTTTTCATCGTTTATCTCCAAATTAACTTCTCCATTAAAAAATTTCTGTGTTGAAAAAAAACCATCAAAGGAGGAACTTCTTTCTTGTCATCTCCATGGTTCTTCAAAAAAAACCCAACTCCTCACAAACTCTCTCAACTCATCCTATCTTCTCAAAAAAAGAAAAAAAAACGATTGTTGTTTCTCTCCAATTCACCATATCAAAATTTCAGACCCAAATCTTTTTTATCACCATTTCTTAACTCATTTTTTTTCTCTCAAACCACTCATTATAATCATCAACCTCCCTTCTCTTTCTCTTCTGTTGGACCGATAAAAATCCAAAGTAAATCAGTACAAAAGCAAAGTCAAGAGGGGAAGTAGTGAAAGAGGAAAGAATACCTCTTCAACAGGCGCCTCCAGTAGCTTTCTCTATTCTTCTTCGATGTCAGCAGCTACAAACGCATGCCAACCTTCTCTCTTCTTCTTCGACGTCAGCAGCTACCAACGCACGTCAATTTCTCTCTTCTTCAACAATGTTTGCAGCCACCGGCGCACGTCAGACTTCTCTCTTCTCCAACGACGTCAGCAGCCACCGCCGCACGTCAGACTTCTCTCCTTTCAAATTTTTCAGTTTCCAGCCAGTGTCCAAGCTTCCTCTTGCTTCTACCAGAGTTCAACTTGAGGGGAATATTAGACAATAATACTAATATTACTTCTGGTAGTATTGGTTATGGTAGTGTTTGATTATTAGTCAGTTTCTTATTCCTATTTGTTTAGATATTTTATTTTAGTTAGTCTTCATTCTCTATTCCTACTTGTGTTAGGAGTCTCTTTTATATGTACTCTATCATGTACGGAGTACTTCATAATTCAAGGAACAATATTATTATTCCAATATTTCAATAGAACATATTAAAAACAAAAGAATTAACAAATAAGAAAAAATATGACGGATGCTATTATTGTTGGTGTTGTTGTTGTTATTCTTTGAAATCGTGATTATTTAAGTACATGAAAAAATATTCTTTTTTTAAAAAGCAAAGGAAGTTATTTTTAACCAAGAGTGAAAACAAAAAAAACAAAATATCGAACCGATGATATTATTAGTATTATTATTCTTCTTTAAAAAAGTAAAAAAAGTTTTTTTTAAAATAAGAGTTTGTCTTTAATGTAAACAAAATTTAATAAAAGAAGAAATCATCTTTTATGGTAACATATTAAAAAAAGTAAAGAATTAACAAACAAGGAAACGTAGGACCGATATTATTATTATTATTATTATTATTATTATTATTATTCTTTAAAATCATTATTATTTTAGAACATAAAAATATTTAAAACCGTGTTTTTATGGAAACTGGTTAAAAATAGTAAAGAATTAACAAAAAAGAAATATAGGACCGATGATATTATTATTATTATTCTTTTTTAAAAATGTAGTAATTCATCTTGAGTCTATAGAATTGTCGTGAAAGTCAATAGAATAATATATTAATGCAATAATTTAAAAGTTAACACAAAAATATTAAGGGCATTTGTCACTTAGGCTGTGTTCCGTTCGATTAATTTGATCTGATTTTTTGAAGATCTGATCTGATTTGATCTGATTTGATCTCATCTGATTTGGTCTGACCTGATCTGATCTGATTACAATTATAAATAAAATTTTTTCTGATCTGATCTGGTCTGATCTGAATATAATAAAAATAAATAATAAGCAGAAAAAATAAGATGAGCGAAACACTGCCTTATTCCATGGATAATTATTATGTGTGCACATCTTAAGAAAAATATATAGAGCATGCTACATCTACCCCAAAATTTGTATCCCTTTTGTACACCAAAAGTATGCACCAACATTTTGATGGTGCACACTGACACAAAATGTTGGTGCATTAACAAAAATCTACTCTAACACAAAATGTTGATGTATTAACATATAATAGCAATACATCAACACAAAATGTTGATGAATCCCTACTGATGGTGTAAAACCAACGTAATGCTAAGTTACGAAAAGTGGAAGGGTTGTAGGTGGATGCACCTGTAACCCGAGTATTTATTAATAATGTAGGGACCGATTACAAAGTTACAAGTCATGTGGATTAATTAAAACATGTCTCACAAATGAAGCTTTTAGTCCTATTTATAATAATAAACAAGCACGTCAAGCACGTCCCGACGTTACTATTCTTCCGGCCGGTCAGTCTTCAAGTCATTCACCCGGGCAGTCTTCAAGCCGACCAGTCTTCAAGCCATCCACCCGGGCAGTCTTCAAGCCATCCACCCGGGCAGATTAACGGGGACGGTGAGGTTAAGCCTGGTCAGACTTTAAGCATTATGTGAATGAAGTCACGATCTCACATGTTTGACTCCCGACATCCACTCGGTCAGTCTACCGGGGTTGGTGAGATCATGTGGGGTCAGCCTTCGGATCTCTCGGGCGCTTGTGACATCCACCCGGTCAGTCTCTCGGGGTTGGTAACGTCAGCTGGGCAGAATTCGGTACCCCCGGGCGTCTTTGAACTTGCCGGGTGGTACTAGTGAGTTATATCCATCACCTACAATACACAAAATAAAGTATAAATTCTTAGAATAGAAATAGTTTTACCCAACATATATTGACGTGACGTGGGAGGAAGGGAGCATCTTTTGTGTAGATATTTCGATTTTTACGACAAACGTACGTTTGGACAGGAAATGGGCCCAATGAGATCGAACTGCTCAATTGCCCAAAACATGTCATCTGGCAAATCACGTTCTTACCATCTGGCAAAACCGTAAATCACATATAAGCATTCTTAAAGCAAAAAAAAAAAAAAAAAAGATTGACAAAAGAAAGCATCATTAAAAAAAGATATATACATCCCTGTTCCAAACAAAAAAAAAAAGAACCATAGAACACAATTGGATAAAATCATAAAAATAACCAAATGAAAATTAGGAGTGACACTATTATTATGGCAAATGATTAAAGAAGAATAAAATTTAAATTTGTAAATAGTAAAAATAATTATAAACAAGACAAAGTGGGGATTGAACCTTCATAAATACTCATCTAAAATTTATACTCTACATACGAAATATTAAAATTTATTTGAAAATTTGAATAAAATAAATAGTTGCATTATATTTTTTTAAAAAATATACTCTCCGTCGCAAATCAATTATCTTTCTTACTTCTTGTATTTGAGGCTTTCAATTAATTTTGTTTGTGTATATACATTTTTATTGACCATTTAACAAAAAAAATGCATATCACTGTTTGTTATATAAAACTTTTAATGTAATATTTAAATATATAACATATTTTTATTTTTATACCAATTTTAAATAAAATTAATTTTAAAAAGATGAGAATTTAAACGTTGTTTAAAAGAGGACAACAAATTAGGGATGGATTGAATATTTGTTCATATATTTTCAATCTATTAAAATGTACGATTTGGATATATATCATCTCATTTGAGAAAGTTACAGTTACAATGATATCGCTAGATGACCAGAAGATCATTAGCAATAGTTACATTTTAAAGTACAAAAGTAAAAAAAGAAAAAAACAAGAGGTTAAAGTTTATTTCACTCTTGGATTAAAAATTAGCATACACATGATTCGTAGAAAAGTTCATTCAGTTTCGCGTCTCAACAAAAGCGGCAATATTAACTCTTTAGGTTGAAAATAATATCAACAAATAGTAATCTTGTGATAGAGTCAATTTAAAAAAGAGGGTTCTCTTTTTTATTTCATTTTATCGCTATCAATCAACAGCTTCAGGCAAAAGGCTCACAAAATGGATCCTGCAGAAGTGGGGTTCGAAGGGGAGTGTGAAACGACGCCTTCTTCTTCTTCTTCTTCTTCTTCCTCGTAATCATCACCGCCATACGTCCTTGTTGTAAGCTTAACTGCTCTCCGCCCTTTCTTATTTTTCTATTCAATTTTCTCCTGCTTTTTTCTTCTTCTTTTCATTTGTTGATTCCTTCACCGTTTTCCCCATCACATTTATTTATTTATTTATTTATTTATTTATTCATTTATTTATGCTTCTGGGCGTTGTGAGATTTCCATTTTCCCCCCTTGTTGAGTTCCGATTTCTCTATTTCTGAATCTAAGGTGCCTTTTCTTGAAGCGCCCAATCTCCATTTTCGCCGATTGATCTGTGCATTTCGGTCGCCGGTGGTTTTTGCTGTTAATTTTCTTCTCAGTGCGGTTTGATCTGATCAAAATTAAGGACGACTATTGAATAGAGATATTGAGAAGTATGTGGAGCATATTGAAGTTATGGGATAGAGTTTTAAGGATGGCAGAAGGGGGATCTCGTTACTGCTCGAAGAAGAAGGATGATATCTGCTACGAGGTAAAGATTCGATTTTTCCCCCTTTTCAATTTTACCCTTTCTTTTTATTACAGTAATTCTTTTTTTATCACTTTAAATTTTCAAATTCTTTTCCTTTTTTGAATTCCCTTTCTGGGTTTTGCTCAATTTTTGATTCACTATAGCATCTATTGGGCGCTTTGTTGATTTGGTCACTGTTCATTGGTTTGGTTGGAGATCTTCTGACACTCAAATCAGAAATTAACTGAAATTTTGATTCAAGTTGGGATGATAATGACTGGAATCTATTAAGAGTCTGGTTCTCAAAATCCGACAAACCCTATTCGAATTGTATGATCCTTTGCTTTTTTGAGATAAGGTTATACCTAGATGATATGAATGTATGTGATGCTAGTGAATTACATTTCTTCATATCGCTCGGGTAGCAAAAACCATAGCACTTAGCTCTTTGATTTGATTGAATTTATATTCTTTGTCCATGAAGAATAATGTACTCCGGGGTATATATTTATCTTCTCTGTCTGTGTAGATTCATGATTTAGAAGAGGCATTTCAGCCATATCCAAAAGTTGTCTGTTAATAGCATCCACATTGTTCTGTATGCAATTATAGTTTTATTTCTTGATTTCCCATTTTAGAGATGAGCTTGCAGTTTCATTATCTGGCTATGATTCATGGAGATATTGATGTCCTCGCGACAAATTGGGATGACTTATCCCAAACAGTATCTAACTCTTTCACTATAAACTGCAGGACTCCAGCCGCGAAATCAGCGTGTCGAGATTAAAATGTATTCTACGAGGCCTAGACTTCAAAATCTACATCTTTCTTTTCTTCCTTGTCCCCACATGCGTGTATGGAATCTATGTCCATGGCCAGAAAATAACATATTTCTTGTGCCCTCTATGGGAAAACCCGCCAAAACCCTTCAATGAGATCCCTCATTATTATCATGAGAACGTGTCGATGGAGAATCTTTGTAAGCTTCATGGGTGGAGAATCCGGGAGTACCCTAGACGTGTGTATGATGCAGTTTTGTTCAGTAATGAAGTGGACATACTTAACATAAGATGGCAAGAGTTGCACCCGTACGTGACCGAATTTGTTCTGCTCGAATCTAATTCAACTTTCACCGGATTGCCAAAGCCTTTGCACTATGCAATCAACAGGAAGAGTTTTGACTTTGTTGAGTCACGGCTAACTTACGGGCAAGCTCCGGGCAGGTTTCGGACTGGAGAGAACCCGTTCATCGAGGAGGCTTATCAACGGTTGGCATTAGACTATCTTCTCAAGCAAGCTGGAATCCAAGATGATGATCTCTTGATAATGTCAGATGTTGATGAGATCCCCAGCAGACACACCATAAATCTGTTGAGGTGGTGTGAAGACATACCAATGATTCTTCATCTCCGGATGAAGAATTACCTCTATTCTTTTGAATTCCTTGTGGATGACAACAGCTGGAGGGCCTCAGTCCATAGATACCAATCTGGTAAAACGAGGTACGCCCATTATCGGCAGTCAGACGATGTCTTGGCTGATTCTGGGTGGCACTGCAGCTTCTGCTTCCGCCACATCAGCGAGTTCATATTCAAGATGAAAGCCTACAGCCACTTTGACAGGGTGAGGTTTTCGCACTTTCTGAACCCGAAGAGAGTCCAAAAAGTGATATGCAAAGGGGATGATTTGTTTGATATGCTGCCCGAGGAGTACACGTTCAAGGAAATCATAGGCAAAATGGGGCCCATCCCACACTCCTACTCGGCCGTTCATCTCCCATCCTATCTTTTGGAGAATGCCGAAAAGTATAAATTTCTCTTGCCGGGGAACTGCTTGAGAGAAAGTGGCTGATTCATGTGAGTGTGGCTTATGATTTCGCTTTCGAAAGCTTCTTTTTTTCTTTCCATGCCATGGATGGCTGTCATACCATTCTTTAAAATCTGCATAATGCATCAAGGGGTGTTTGGATTAATGGACAGTGGTTTGTATATAATATATATAAGTAGATAACTTATATAAATAGGGAACTTTACCAAGGGTAGCTTTTGCAAGAGACTCCAAATCATGTGACAAGAAGATGGTTTTTTAGTTTCTCTTGTTTGGGCTTTCTTCATATGAGGGGAAATTTTGGTGGTCACTAATGTGTATTCATATCTTTGTGTTATTGTTACTTTTGTCATATGTTGTTGACACTCATTTTATTTATATATTCTTCATACGAGGAGTCGAATCCACGACGTCTTTCCGTTGTGCCACGCTTCGAAATGTATTTTCTTTTTAATTAAATATATACTCTCTATCTTCCTTATATGGCTTCCATGTATTCTGTGCTTTATCCATTTGATCAATTTGTGCTAGAAATGGGATGAAATATTCTTTTGCCTGATCCTTACTCTGTATTAGTTTTTTTTATTTAAAAAAACACTGTATTGTTTACTATGGTTGTGCCAACATGAAGCATCTTTTTCAATTTCCACCTCATAATTAATTGGTTGTCTCCTACTTTTTGTTTGCCCTTTTTAATGTTTCCACATGTTTTGGTGCAGGAGTTAGTCCACTTTTTTTTTTCTTTTATCACACTTTTGCATTGTCCAATACAAAAATCTTGTGTACCCAAACCTTCATGGGAAAAAAGGGATGAATCCATCCTTTGTTGCTGACGGGACAGTTATAAATTACTTTTGAAAATAAAATTATGAGTGTATGTTGCTATCAAACCCTAAGACATATCTTAATAATTAAAAACTAAATGTTGTATCTAGATTTTTTTTAAAGTGTTGATGATAAATACTGGAATTATTCCCAAGCTGACAAAAAGACATTTTTTAAATATTCATGTTTGTTACTTGAAAATAATACACCATTCTTTCCGGAATGCTTGTTCAATTTTAATTTTTTCAGTCAATCAAATTAATTTTTGACATATAATTAAATTAAATTTATAGGGTTATTCCATATTAATTAAATAAAATAATCTTTTAAAAGAGGGGCTCTATTTTCTAATTTGGCATACAACCCATAAATGTCACGAAGAACACTTATCATTTTGCTTTTTTTTTTTTGCACTAATCTTATCAGATGATTTTTGGCATTTTTGACTGACTTTGGTGTTTTGACTAATCAAATAGCCAAAATCATTCTTTGGCTAATGGTTTTTTCATTTGGCTTTTTGATCCGAAAAGCCAAAATTTGAAAAGCCAAAGGGAGTAGCTTTTAGACTTAGCTGTTTGAAAAAAAATTAATTATTTTTCTTGAAAGATATTCAATAATATATGTAAAAATAAAAGTTAAAAAATTGAAAATATAAAAATTAAAGTAAAAATTTAAAAATTGAAAAATCAAAATATTTCTAATGAGAAAATTAAAAGAAAAAAATCATTAATATTTATATACTATAATTTTTTTATGAATTATATGAAAGTGAAATTTAGTACTCCATATATTGAAGATTTTAGTACTCCATATATCTAATTATATATAGTCTAAAGATGTGTTATCTGTTTAATCAACATCACAAAGTATGTCACTGGACATAAGATCGATGTCAAATTACATTTTTAGCTCTCAAATTAACACAAACATAATTGACGGTCTGACTGTTTGGGAAAAATTATGCATAAAATAACGACCACCGAGGTAATATTCGATAATAAAAGACTTAATATGGAAAATTCTTTGTTATAAGGGCACCCGCGTCAGGTGGAGAACTATGCTGTTAGTCCTCCTGGAGTACTAACAGCATCAGACGGAGGGGAGACGGAGGAGTACTCCTCCGTCACAATATCCAAGACAGACTGGGACGGACATGAAGTTACTCCGCGAAGAAGAGAAAAATGGGAGCAGGATGGCAAATCGTTGGGCGCCACCTGGCTACTGCATGCGTGCAGTGGGTTCATTTTTTCTCTTGGATAATATTGGTTCAATTTTTAATAATTTTTAATTAAATTGTTAAAAATTGAACCAATAAACCCCCTATTATAAAGGACCAATTATGGGATAACAAATCCACCCCGATGGAATCAAACTTTTTTTAAAACTTAAAATCAATTTAATTTTTGAGACGAATTCATTTGTTTTTCTAAATAACTTAAAGTCAATTAATTTATTAAAATAAAGCTAATTAATTTTTTTAATATTAATTAATGAAGCACACTATTATTTTTGTCAATTTTTAAATTAAAATTTTTATATTTTATAAATATTTAATATTAAAAAAATTATATGACTAATACAATAAATAATATTTTAGTAGTCTTTCTAATGTAAGGAAATACGGAGTATAGAAGAGTAAAGGAGAAGTTGAGTAGTGGGGCCTAAAAAGATGATGTGGAGGAGAGATGTGGGAGTAGTACTCCCTTTACTCCTCCATCTAATGTGGTTGCTCTAAAAGATTAGTTAGAACAACTCCAAGGGGTAGTCTATATTGTAAAATATACACTATATACAATTTAATGTTGCCTTTTCAACACTCCAATGGATAGGGTAAACCAATTGGTAAAATGCAATTTAGTGTAAAAAGCAATCTCCAAAATGTATTTTTACAAGTTCAATATAGATAGTGGAAAGAATAAAAAATTAGTTTTCTTCATTTTTTTCCTTCCCTCTTCTCCATTTTCATATGTACAAGGTATTTATTATGTCTTTTTTAAAAAATCATTAAAAATAAGTAACTTAAAACAAAAAAAATATTATAAAAAGTGTATTACATAGAAGATATGGTTGGAGTAAGTATAAAAAAATGGAAATGAAAAAACTCTATTAATACTGTAAAATGAAGTTTACACTACCAATTTTTACATTACACCTTGGAGATGCTCTTATGGACTTTTTCTTAAAACCTTTGAAATTGTAATGGTAACCCCCCTCCACTTGTAAGAGCACTGGTAATACGTTTGAAGCCCCGGGGCTTCAAACCGGGGCTTCAAACTTTCTCTCTCTGTCACGTCAGCTTTAACTTACAGCCAAAATTCACTGGAAATGGGTTTGAAGCCTCGGGGCTTCAAAACTGGGCTTCAAACCTTCATTTTTTACATTTTTAAATATACATCTTCTAAAATTAAATTAATAAAATGTAATTAATTTATTATCTAATTAAATTGAAACACGAATAATAAAAAAACACATTAATTAAATAAAAAAAAGTGACAATAATTTAAAAAAAAAGATACATTAATAAAAAAACTAAGGTAAATTATATTTCTCCTTGATCTCTCTCATTCTTTGCTCGTAGATAATTCGTCCAAACTCCGACAACGTCCCGGGGTCGGTTTGCATGACTTTCATCTCGGCCTCCTGCTCCTTTAGCTTCAACTGCTTCTCTTTAAGCTTCAACCTCTCTTGTTCTTGGAGATTGAACGCCCGAAGTTGTTCAACCATTGCCCGGCCGATTTCGTCGCGGGGAGAAGCGGAAATAGAGACGGACCCTCCCGAACCAGAGGCAATGGATTTTGCATTCTTTCTTCCGATCGGCCGTGGAATGGGGTCCTCGTCATCGGAAGCCGCAACGTTGAAGGAAGGGATTTGATCGGTAGAACCGATGGTCTCGTCGACCTCAACCTCGGCGTCGACGGTGGATCTTTTCCGGAATGATACGCCGTCGGGATTGTTGAGTTGTTGCCACTTCGGGGAACGACTCAAAATCCCCCAAAGATCGATGGGCACCTTGCCTTGGTTCCCGTCGTCTTGATACCGGGTCGTGGCAAGCCGGAGAACATCGGCGTCGTTCATGCCGCTCCTCCGGGACCGGGAGCATTCCTCGTATACTCCCATAAACTTTCGTACTTTTTTGTTGATGTGGCTCCATTTGGAAGTGAGTTGGTCACGGGTTCGGTAGGAGCCGTCCTTCTTCATCGCCGTGAAGAACTTCT